GCGATTGCCAAAAAGAGACAATCGCATCCGATTATGCTAACTATATATCTACATGTGTGAGAATGAGAAAACCGATTTACTGAATTTATCAGTACTGACCGACAAATTACCAAACAATTGATTGTGTCTGTAAAAATTTCGCAGAACAGCGAAGCCACGCGCATTCTTTGTGAAAACTCTGAAGCGAAAAGTTGATTTTATTTGGAAGCGGCATAGTACTCTAACTAAAAATCAAAGATAAGTGCAAAATGAAAAAAAGAGCTTTTCAAAACTCCCTAAATAAGGAAAAGAGGATTTTCGAATCCAATATTAAAAAATATAGGGAATTCGCAGAATGTGCGGGAAATGTGAAGAAAAGTGAATTCGCAAATAAAATAAAATATATTAATAGTGATTGTGCAGATAGTGAATTTCTCCTCAGGGGAGACGTCGCATCAGGCCCTGTACTGTCTGCGTCTACGGGTTCTGATTTTTCAATCAACTGTGATGGAGAAATTTTAGGGGGTGATCCAGTTGCACCATCTTTACCGTCTGGATCGTTGCGTGATCCATCTGATCTTGATCATGAATTAGAGTTTGATTCAGTCGAACCTGATCCTGAGCCTTTAGCTTCAGGATCTTTAGATAACTTAGGTTCTTAGTTTGAACAAAAAAGTGAAGAAATTAGGCTATGGGCCATTAGGAACAATGCATCTCAAAATGAATTAGACGATTTGCTTAAAACTTTGCGCAGAATAGGAGTTGAAGGTTTGCCGCTTTCGGCCAAAACTCTCCTAAATACAAGCAGACAAAAGGTTAGCGTTAAAAATATTCCCAATGGCGAGTTTTTATACATAGGTATACAGAAGTATTTTTTATCGAACTCATTCGAAAATATGGAAGAAGTCTTAATCGATGTAGGTATTGATGGCTTACAACTCTTTAAAAGTTCGAATCGAGTTTTGTGGCCCATACTTGGAGTTCTTTCAGACTTCCCTAATGTGAAACCATTTATGATCGCTTGTTTTTCCGGTTTGAAAAAACCGGAAAGCATTAATACTTTTATGGCCGATTTTTGCTCAGAAGTGACGTTTTTGAGAGAAAACGGGGTTAAAGTTGGTCAAAACCAAACATTAAAAAAGTTTAATGTTCGTTTATTTTCTTGCGATTCAGCTAGGGCGTATGTTACAGGTATTATGTCACATAATGGTAAAAATGGTTGCCCCAAATGTTGTCAGGAAGGATTGTATAGAGATAGACGGGTGTGTTTTTTGAAAACAGTTGGTCCACTTAGATCAGATATAACTTTTGAATTGAGAACTAATACCTCTCACCATGTTGCCGAATTTAAAGAAAAAAATAGCGTTTTGGAAGAAGCAGGTTTTGGAATGGTATCCCAATTTCCTCTAGATTCTATGCATTTAGTCGATTTAGGAGTCACTAGAAAATTGCTGAAACTGCTTTTAAAAAAGGCTAATATAAAAAATATAAATCAAAAAATAAAACATGTTGCTCAATTTATTCCATCTGAATTCGGTCGTGTATCTAGAAGCCTTGATGAAATAAATCATTGGAAGTCCACTTTAGGCAATTTTTGTTATACACAGGAATATTTCTTTTAAAAGATTGCATAAATAATGACTCATACTACCTTTTCTTGTTGTTGCATAGCGGTATAAGACTCCTATCAAGTGAGAAGTCGTGTAAGACAGAGGCCAACGTTGCCCAATCTCTCTTAAATGATTTCGTAAATTATTTCGGTAGCATATATGGTGATGAGTTAGTTAGCTTCAATATCCACGGCTTGCTTCATTTGTCAGATTGTGTCAAACAGTTTGGCCCTTTAGATTCCTTTTCAGCGTACAGATTCGAAAACTATATGCAGTTCCTTAAAAAACTGGTTAACAAGCCCAATCAAATTTTACAGCAAATATATTTAAGGCTCAATGAGAGACAAGGACTTAATTCTGATTTTAACAATACTTCGATTGGATCATTTCAGATAAATCCTCTTAAAGAAAAAGATTGATTTGTTTTAGTCCAAAAATTGGACCTTTGAAAGCTTTTAACATTATAAAGTCATCCGAGTCAGATAAAATTCATTGTAACGCTTTTCAGACAATAGAAAATTATTTTGAGGAACCTCTTCTTTCCGCCAGTGGTCTGGGAATAGTTTTCGCTAGTAATTTAAGTTCTGAAGTAGTTGAAGTTGCTATTGAAGACATTGACTATAAGTACTTTTGTATCCCTCACACTGGAAAATTTCTTCTGATTCCTCTCTTGCACAATTTGTTTCACGATTTTTCATACAATACCGCACATTCTGTTTGAATTAAATAAAACAAAACCATAAATTTAATAAAGTTATATAATTTTACATGAGCTTCAACGTTAGCAATCTTTTTGTTCCAAGACAGTCAGGAGCGAAATGGTAAGCGAAACCAATTTTCTTTGAGTTACAAACATGTTTGTAAATTTTTCTTGGCATAGATCTTGAATCAATAATTCAAAAGAGGTGCTACACGACCACAAATGCCAATCATATGCAGGCAACCACATCTTCACCAATGAGCCCAGAAATAGCTGAGGCACCTGCAGCATTCAATGAAGGTAATTTAAAATTTTCCGCTGAATTCAAGTTAATTAAATATTTTGTTTCATTTCAGAAATGATGGGAATGCTAAAGGAAATTTTAGAAAACCAAAAGGAGCTTGCAGCAAAGATGACGTCGTTGGAAGCCAATGTGTGTAAATGTTTTTCATACTAAATAAATTTTTTAATTAATATGTCCTATATTTTAATAAATACTTATGTTTGCAACTTATGTTTATTTATTTATTTTCAATAATTTTCATTGC